GTCACAAGAACAGGAGGTGGGTCAGGAATAACATTACAGGTGCTAAATTCCAGACAGGTTATCTTTAGAAAAATATAGGCAATGTGAGAACCTTCTCCCATGGCTGCTGAGAAAAATGTATATTCTGTTTTATTCCTAAACTGCATAATGTGATCCCCTGTGTGACACAACATATGTTGAAGCATGTATTAGTAATATTAATGTTCCCAGTACAGTAACATACAGGGGCCAATCAGATGTCAGTTTATTGCAGACAAGCTAGTCAATGATGAATTCTGATTCAATACTATAGGTTGCTGCACTTTTCAAAATGTTCTTTGCCTTTGCAGCTTAAACTATATCTAAAGCATTTAGTTTCGGCAGAGCGGGTTTTTTCCCGTTTGTGTCACATTGGGGAGATTTTCCTTCACTTCCTTTCTTAGAGACATTATAGGAAGTGGGAGGAAAGCTATCTACAGTAAAGAAAATCCTCTCTTAGACAATCATCTGAACAAGGGTTCTCGTGGAAAGATTTCTCCTCTGTTCATGTTCCATTGACAAATTAAAAATTAAATGTTGGATTTTCCCTCACTTTCAGTCACAGTAACAACAGTCACCAGGGCAAAGAGGGGTAAATCCCTGCAGCAGGGATAAAAGCAGCAATAAAAACCTGACATGTTCTATTTTTTCCACACTCACATCCAAAATAGAAAAAATATGTAGCTTTAGGTAAACTTTATTAGTTTTACATGGGTAAACATTGTTAAACATGGGCATGAGTTAATTAAATCTCATCATTGCACATATCTAGTAACTACGCTCTGTTAATCAGACTTGTCAAGCTTTTTATTGTAATAAATGCACAGGCACAACAGCCGTCTTACAGAAGCTTAGCAAGGAAGCTGAACCATCAGAATGTGCAATATATGAATGATCAGACAATGTGGGCTAATAAACATGTTGCTATTTCCTGAAAGAAAGAGAGGTATGATTGTTCTCAGCTGACAATGAAATGATGGAGTCAGTTACATGCTACGATGTTCATTAATCATTTTGTTTCTGATTTAGTATGGATTCCACCTTGCTGCTCTATAAAAATGCATTTACAGAAGTCAAATCTATACAATAATTCTATGTAACATCAGAGGCAGCTTGACAGCAAATCTTCTTAGATAATATCACTTATTCTTCAACTACAACTTTTAGTATATTCGGCAGCTTGAATGGCCCACTCTTAAAGTTTGCTACAGATAGGCAAAGGAGCAGCAGAATTAAGCTGTCCCAGGTCTGATGTCAAAGATTATGAAGGACTTTTTCCCACTTAGTCTGCACGAGGCCCCCTTTAATCCGAAAGGCCCTATAGTGGCTGCACTCACTGCTTAGGTTGCAAGTCCACCAATAGATGTGTTTATTTCTTTGGATGGTCCTGCGACATTTAGCAGATAAATAAAAATATTAGATGGACCCTTAAGGTCATCTAAATCCTCTAGTTTTTAACTCTCAGACAAGTTTGCATGTTAAATATCTTCAAAGAAATACAGTATAATGTTTCTATTTTCAATGGTAAATGTAATAAGAAACCTGTATTTTTCATACACTCCTGCAGATAGATCAATAAGGATTAATCTAAAGGGCAAAGGGCTTGGATAGATGAGGCTGTTCACTAATAGGGCGATCAACAGTGCCACCATGTAAACAGCTTCAGCAGCAGGATGACAATGCATGTGATTTTACTGCAGAAGTAAGAGCGTTGTCATCCATTTAAAGAAAGGGCCTATCCAATGGTTCTACGGGTAGCATCAATATGTCATACAAAAGGGTCCAGGGGGTACTTTTTAAACAAAGCTCACTTCATATGTGGTGAAACTACAAATTTCGTCATGCCTGCCTTTAATGCATCATGGGTCTTGTGGGTCCACAACAGCTGGGGGTTGATTTACCAAAGGCAAATAGACTGTTTACATTGAAATATAATTTTTGCTTTCCAAGGGAATTTTCTTTTTCGCTCAGTGAATGTGGGTAAAATTCACTTTGAAAAGAATACCCAATCACATGCAAGGAAAATTAATAAAACAGTATTTTTGCTTGCAGTTTGCTTGCAGCTTCACCTCACTCACTAAGCTAAAGAAAAATTGCTTTGCAAAGTGAACAGCCTATTTGCCTTTAGTAAATCAACCCCCTGGAGTGTCAAAACCGCCTTGGCAAGGTTGTTCAAGGTTGTTGGCAATATTTTCAATGACACATTAGGGAAGTTATTTGAAGCAAGATACATTTGATTACAAATCAACTCTTTTGAGAGTCAAAAGTGCTTCTTTTCAAAAAAAATTCAACATGTGTGAGTTCTGTAATCCATTGCCAGCCATACTCTTTTCTCTAAAGAATAGGGAACAATCCTTTAATCAAAATTGTGTCACATTACTTTATCAACTAGACCAGGCAAAACTATCATCGTTGGTAACACTGGAAAGAGGTTCAAGTGAGGACTGAGATTTTTCTCTATCATTCTGACAGTTTCTATAGTGAGTCATGTGAGCGGTAAGCCGTTCTATGACCCTTGTTTGCAAACCTACCACTGGCGCACAAGAGGTGGACCATTCCAGAAGACATCCAATCTAGTGGGTCTAGGAGTGCTTTCACCCTCTGTGGCCAAAATGGTCCCACCAATGATAAGGACAATATTTCAATCACATCTTCCAGTACTGCTAGTCAAAGCTGGATTTGATTTCGATCCTGCGCACAGGAGATATCTTATGTGCCGAGTAACCCCGGGCATTTTCCTTTCTATGCGCTGACAATGACAAGATAAGCCACCGCATTTCAAAGCAGCAGATGCTACTGATTATCAAGCCTTTGTTACAACTAGTAAACTGAGCCAAGTTATAGCTTTGTTGATTGCTTTTTGAACCTCATGTTTACATTTTAGTACAAAGTGGAGATAAATATATTTCCTTCCATACATTCCAGACCAGATAATGAAAGCAAGAGTTTATACTTGGGAAAGAAGCAAATATTTTCCAATCCAGCAGTACTTTTCAGAAATTGTTTAAGCAAAAATGATCTTATAAAACCTACTTTTTTTATTTGCAAACATTAAAGTGCAGGTATAGCCTGCTTATGTATAGGTATCTAAAAGTAAACCCATACACTCTGTGTATGGGTTTACTTTTAGATACCTATACATAAGCAGCCCTCTGGTGTCACATGATCTGATGCAAAAACTGACTTTCACAAGAACTAAGAACCCCTTATGCTGCAAGTAGCAGTGCTCAGACTTGGGCATTGAAAGAAGTGGGTGGACCATATTTTCCCCATACCTTAAAGCGTTGGCCTATAAGGAGGATCTCTTGGCACCTTGCTGTTAATAGTCTTGCTAGGATGGATAAATAAAAAGTAATAGAAGTGCTAAAATACTCACCTTACCTAGAAAAAATGCTACTCCAGGCTCCTTTCATTGATAGTCATATGCTGAAAATCGTAAACACTTAGTGACCGCTGCTGAAGAAAAGGCCAACTCAAATTCTGAACATACCCTTCAATAGAGATCACAAGATTAAGTGCATAGGCTTCTCAGATATGTGGCCAGCAACAAGGGGAACCGGGACAATTAATTTTTATTTATCCATTCAGGCAAGACCCTTAACATAGCTTTTTGTAATATTTTAGTGAATATCCATTCTAATTCAGACATTTTATTAAGTTAGTTCAATATATGTAGAACTGCACTTCAATAATCTCCAGAGGTCACTTTTTAGGTGCTTTTCCTTAGACCACAAATCATAATGGGCACGAGAATACAATTAAATGTATGCACTAATATATAACAAGTATATAGTGCATACACTGACATGAACGATTATTTATTTGATTTCAATAAAAAGACACAAGGGGTAGTCTGGGTTACCCTAAAGGTTTGTTGCTCTTGGCCCGGGCTAACATGGCTTACCCACAAATCCAGGCTGCGTATGTTATCAAAATATATATATATATATAG